TCACAGTTAGTGGTTCCACAATTTCACATTTGAGTTTTCAGAACTCTTGGGTGTATGCCATCTGATCCTAGTGACTTATTACTGTTCAGTTCACCAGTTTGTTCCAAAACCTCCTCTGAGAACTCAGTCTGGGACAGTTCCTCAGTTTTGTCACTTAAAATCTCCCTCACATCCTTAGCAGTGAAAACTGAAGCAAAGAATTCATTTCAATTCTCCACAAATGACCTTATTGTCCTTGAGTGCTCCTTTAACATCTCTATTGTCGAGTGGTTGTTTAGCAATATACTTTAAAAATTTCTGTTTTTTTGAGTTTCTGGCTAGCTGTTACTCAGATTCCTTTTTGGCCTTCCTGATTATATTTTTACACTTTATTTGACTGACTTTATCCTCCTATTTTCCTCACTAGAATTTAACTTCCTCTTTTTAAACAATGCTTTTTTAGCTGTTTCTGGTTTTTTTACTTGTTTAAGTCATGGTGGCACTGTGTTTTTTAATTTGGAGGTATACATTTAAGTTGAGCCTATCTTATGGTAATGTTAAGTTTCCATACAGTTTGCAGGGATTTTACTTTGGCACTGTACCTTTTAATTTCTGTTTTAATCTCCTGTGTTTTGTGTAGTTCCGCTTTCTAAAATTACATGAGACAATGTTGGGTTCCTGAGGTGTTTTCCCCACCACTGGGATGTTAAATTTCATTATATTATGGTCACTATTACTAAGTGGTCCAGCTATATTCATCTATTGGACCAGATCCATTTAGGACTAAATCTAGAATTGCCTCTCCTCTTATGGGTTCCAGAACCAGCTGCCCCAAGAGCAATGACTTAAGACACTCATCAAGAAACTTTCTCTGCTTCCCGTCCTGAATGGATGTGTACCCAGTCAACATGGGGTAGTTGAAATCCCCCATTATTATTGACTTTATTTTTATAGCCTCTCTGATCTCTCTTAGCATTTCACAGTTAATATCACTATCCTGGTCAGGTGGTCAGTAATATATCCCTACTGCTATATTCATATTTATTAGAACATGGAATTACTATCCATAAAGGTTCTATGTAACTATTTGGTTAATTTACGATTTTTACTTAATTTGATTCTATGCTCCCCACTCCCCCCCACAGCTAGTGCCACTCCTCCACCAGCATGACCTGTTTTGTCCTAATATATTTTGTACCTTGGTATTACTGTGTCCTATTGATTATCCTAATTCCATTAAGTTTCACAGATGCCTATTATATCAATATCTTCATTCAGTAAGAGGCACTCTAGTTAAGCCATCTCATTAGTTAGACTTCCAGTGTTTGTATATAGAGTGAGTGAGGAGTCCTGGGTTCCACAAACCCCCCTGAGGTATTTCCATGCGTAAGTTACTTTTCCTTCATGAGTCCTGTAATAATGGCCTGGTTTGGATCCTTCTGTGGATCAGTTGTCAAGAGGGAAGTCTTCTGTAAAGATGACTAGGGATGTTAAAAAGTGGTTAATTTACTTGAGTAGTTGATAAAATATTTATTGACTACTCAACTAATTGATAAGGAAAGGCAGCCCAGTTAAGTGCCAGCTCTCACTGGGTCCACAGCCAAACTCTGCTGTGGTGGTGCAATTTAAAAGGCAGTAGGAGCTGGGCGGGCAGGTAGCCCGGCTTGTGCTGGATCCAGGACCAAACTCAACTGCAGCTCTGCATTTAAAAGGCAGCGGAAGCCAGGCTGCCTGCCTGCCTGGCTCCTACTACATTTTAAATACAGAGCTGCAGCGAGGATAGGTCCCCCACTGCAGCTCTGCATTTAAATATGAATAGTTAATAGCATTAGCCAATAAGCTTTTGCTTATCGGTTATTCAACGACACCCTTACATCCCTAACTCTGACGTCTGATCTGTCCACTGCTCTTTCTGTCTTGAGAACCACAAAAGCATCTACTTTGTCAGTGAGTATTTCCTTCCATGGATGATCCTCCTGATTATTCAGATAGGAATGATCAGGATACCCAAAAGGACAGTGGTGTCTTGGCCCATTTTCTTCTGCCTTTCGACTCTCCCTTGTTTGTAAGCTACATCCAGCCCCATTGCATTCTCAGGTTCACTCTTCAATTCAGCTCCAGCTGCAGTCACTTGCTTCTGTCAACTGTCATTTTCAAATGCCTAAGTAGTCACTTAGGCACTCTTGAGAGTTTAACCAATTACCTCTGTATATTGTAAACAGATATACTAATTTATGAATTTTTCATTCCAGTATACCTAGAACTCAAAAAGTAAAAGAACAAAGATGATAGAGAGATTCAGCAGATCTTTGTCCAGTATTTATTTGTGTTCACATTCTGAACATGTGCTCTAACAATTACCATTTACACTTGGCACAGCTGTTGCTTATTTTTGGAATTGAATTATGTAATTTGGTAGGCATAAAACATTAAAACAATTCACTCTTATTTATTCTCCTGTCCTTCTTTTCTTTTTTTTTTAGCTCTATCTCTGCCACGAGCTGAAAGCACCCCAAATCTGTTTACAGCACCAAGTTGTTCATACTTGCTTGGGCTTTGTGTGTGGTGCTTGGGCTTTGGCCTTGGTCTCCAGCAAATCTAAGCCATCCCTAGTGTCCCAGTTAAGCAAAGGGATTGTGATCTGCTTTCGGGTCCCGACTTAGTTTGAGAGCAGCTGAACTAAAGCATCAGAGGGATAGTCAAGTTAGCCTGTAACAGGAAAAAACTTAAACAACAAATGTGTAGATGGTATCATGAGTTTTCATGGCCGTAACCCACTTCTTCAGATGACAACTGAAGAAGGGGGTTGCACCCACGAAAGCTTGTGATACCATCTACATGTTTTGTTAGTCTTTAAGTTGCTGCTAGACTATTTGTTTGTCTTTTCCTGAACTAGAGTAGTGAAGAACAGTGAATTTTACTTCTATGAAAATATGTGAGGTTTTTGTTTGTTGCAGTTTTTTAAACTGCAAGCAGGGGGAGAGATCTTGAATCAGGATAAAATGTCAGAATGTTGACAGTTGTCACAGAACCTACTGTACCTTGGTTTGGAAAGGCCTGGGAACCCTGACTGCAAGGCAGCCTGCTAGCTGAGCTGTGGAGAAGCTTAGGAGTCAAGGCTCCTGGGCTTCCAGTTGTTTAGCAACTAGGCAGGCTTGTGGGGTACCTGGCTCCAAAGCTCCTTACAGATGAGCAGTGAGAGGAACAAGCAGGCTAGCTGAGAGGACACCTGCTTGGTGTGCTTTTGAAAGATTAGTTGAAATCTGTAAGTTCCTGCAAAACATTTCACTTTCAATGAATTGGTGTTTTCTAATGGGAAAGGCACTGTGGCAGAAATTTTTCAACCAGCTCTGAATGTAGTTGCTCACTCTCAGGTTGCTGTTTTAAATAAGCATTAAGCTGTAACCAGCCCTGCCCTTAGAGATTGGTTTCCCAGAGCTGATAATGGATGTTAAAATGTGGTTAATTGACTACCTGTGGTCAACTAGTTGATAGGCACTTACACATTCCTCCTTCGAAATGTACAAGAACCCTCTATCTCCTAGAGGCAGCAAAGTGGGGGGTGGGGGAGGAAGGATATTGACTAGTCAAAAGACTATCCGATAAGCAAATGCTTATCGGATAGTTGACTAGTCGACTAATCTTTTACATCCCTAGTTCTGATTGATGTCCATTGACAGGAGATGGTGTAATGCAAGATTGCACTGCTGAAGCCTGTATTGTGACTTTTATATGGTTAAGTATAGGATTTCACTTGTCAAAGCAGTCAGTCCTATATCTTCTAAAACTATTAAATTCAGTCAAAATTAGAAAATAAATCAAAAATTTAGATTTATTTGAAAAGATCTATTTTTCACTTTTCATTCATGTTGGCCACAATCTTTACTTACTCAAGGTGTATGTAACCTATGCCTCCCCCCCCCCCCAAGCTTCTTTGCAATTTCTGAGGTAAATTAATACAAAATGTCATGAATAGAACTGACAATATTTAGCAAGAGGCTTTTCATAACTTAAGTTCCTGCTTATCCTTGAATTTAAATCTTAGTTATGAATTGTCAACATTACATTAATTTCTGTGGCAAAAGATTTGTCACAAGGTTGTAACATGACTGTGAGACTGTCCGAAGAGGCACCTGAGTTTGTCTTCCTCTCCTACAATGTATTCTGTAATAGCAGAACCCAGAGTGACTGAATTCAAACAAAACAGTGGACTTTCAAATTTGCTGAAGAGGATTTGACGTTTTTCTGATATTAATGTTAATTGAACAAAAACTATTAATATACTCATAGATTTGTAAAAACCTACCAAATTATTTAATAAATAATTACATATTTCTTAATGGAAATGTACATACAGATAGCGCTGATTTTGATTATTGTATGCACATAAATTCTTTTATTCCTAGAATAAATGTGTAAACTACAGGTATGTCACTTGCATGCCTGTACATAAGGTGCAGTTAACCCTTTGTCTGAATTTAGATATAAAAAGATCAGTCTCCATCTAATAAAATCTGTTCTATTTCTTTCAGTAATGCTGGTTTGATCCTTTAAGTTCATCAGAGAACCTCTCACTCATGACTAGTAAAATGTATTTGGGTGTGCTATTGTTTAGTACCTTAATTGGGTGTAAGACTATAGCTTACTAAATTACAGATGTTCATCAAATAATTCTTTTCATGCAATTCCTAATCTGGTGAAATTCTGCTTGGTTCTCCTTTGAAGCATCAAAGAATTTGAGAGAGATGCCTTAGCTAATGGAAGTCTTTCATAAAATTAAGTACATTTTCAAAATGAGAATAATCTACTCTGTGCCCCGAGTCTCAATGCACTGCTTAGTAGCAGGGTTTAGTTAGATTTGCCAAATGCTCTATCACTATTCTCTACCATACTGCATGTTACAAAAAATGGCTTTTCTTATTGTAAAGTTGATCACGTGGTCAAGTGATTTTTTTTTATTAGGCCCTTTATCACTTTGGATTTGAAGTATATGTAAACAATTTCTCTTTTTCCCTTTCTAGGTCCTGGGAACGCCTACAAGGGAACAAATTAGAGAAATGAATCCAAACTACACTGAATTCAAATTCCCTCAGATTAAGGCACATCCGTGGACTAAGGTGAGGCTGTATGAGTTGGATAATGATGGTGTGTGGGATAAATATAACACTGCAGAGTATAGGTCCAGGCCTTGATTTCTGTGTTTGGTTGCTTTTAAACTAAACCGAAACCCTTTAGTTAAATCAGGGCCCAATAAATCTTTACATAGTGAAGGAGGAAGGAATGTACTTAGGCTCTGCACTGAATCATCCATGGCTCTGTTTTTTGTAATTTGTCCATAGATATTTTTCCAGGCTGGGTATGCATTTATAATCCATTACAATGCACTTATATTCCATCATAACACAATTATCGACCCGTGCAAAGAATCTCCTATAAATAAACATATTCTTTAGAAGTGGTGATGCATTTTGATACAAATACATCATCTCTGGATGCAGTAGTGCAAATCCGTCCTGTTTCCCATCTCATAAATATAGTGAAGGTCATTAGATTTGGAACCCTCAGTAATATGTATTAGTTATTTTTCTTGCATTATTTGTAAAAGATTTTTTGTTTAGTTTGGTTTGTACAAGGGAGGGAATATCACTACAAAAATATCTATTCAATAACTTTCTCAACAGCAAGTTAGGAAACCCAGCAACATGAATATAAAGGCTTTCAAATACTAAAGAATGAAGTACAGAGATTAGCTTTTGGAAAATGCATATATTCCCTTAATCCTACTAGTGACTAGTTCAAAATCATTTTGGACCAAGCCTTCCACAGTTTTGGAGACTGTGAGCAGATGGTTTGAACTACTTCAGGTTCTCAGGTGTTCTGAAAACATGCTTACTTTCCCCAACAATGAAGGGTTTCAGTTTCAGATCTTAGTCTTTCTTGCATGTTGGTTCCACGACTGAGTGATTTGTAATACGTACTCAGAGGCCATTAAATTGTCCGATATTATGTGTTTAACAGAAATATTTCTGTAATTGTTAAATTTCATCAAACTCTATGAAAATTAGCCTTACTTTCATTATTTCAAAATAAATCATGGGAAAAGCTACAAAAATCAGCATAAGAAATTAAAGTAATGAAGTTTTAGTGGAAAATGGTTCCAGTGCTGCACCCTGGATGACTTGGTGTTGAGGGAACTTTAACTGAATGAAGCATGTAATGGAGCCATGGCCTGTCTTGGTGCCAGAACACATAAGTCATCAGGGTTGAATACTTAACCTGGTTATACATCTCCCCTTTGTTTGCATTTGACTTCCCTGAGCCATCGTAGACCTTATTGTAGAGCTAGTGAAAAATATAATGTGATTGCTATGCAGAAAGTGAAACTGAGAGTTCCTTCTATTTTCGCATTTTATACACAAGTGAGAGCTTCTAAATGACCACAAGTGAAATCAGGCAAGCATAGAGCAATGAGAGGAGCTTGCCAGAAGTTAGAACTTCTTTTTGCATTAGCACACAGGGTTGTTTTGGTTTGGTTTTGAGAACTGTGTTTGCAACACAGTGCCTTGTTGTTCTCAGTTTGTTATACAACAACCACCTCTTCCCAATACCAGATGGATGTAGAACAGCATCTACATTCATTTATTAGATTTAGGAAAGTGACCATCTATTTGCAAGTTTTGTTTTTCCGTCCCATTTAAAGTCTTAAGTACCAAAAAGACACATCTAGAATAACCTTTCTAACCATTATTTTTACCAGTTTTTTCAAAACCCTTTTCCTCCAGTGTTTTGTCATTCAGCAATGACATTTTTCTGGCAAGTGTGCTGAAGAGGATATCCACAACTCAAAGTTTCCCAGCAATTCTTGCCCCATCTCTAGGGTGGGGGGAAAACAGGACTACCTGACCTGTCCTGATTTCCCACCTGTTAGTTGTTTTTGTTTTCTTTTAAAATAGAGTTGCAGAAACTTAAATTTGTTAAATTGCAGTCATTGTTACTGAGCAGAAGGAAGAACAGACAATTAATAGCATTTGCAGTTGTTTTGACTATGGCAATAAATGCATGTGTATTGACAGCCATTGAGAGTTTGATCTCCAGAACCTTCAGCATCAAATACAAACATTTATTACTTGAGCCAATGGAGTAACTTGTTAACCGGTAGCTCTGTTCTTTTCTGTTTGGACTAGCCATGGGCAGACACTTTAACACACTTTAACAAACCTCTATACTAATGAAGGTGGCTAGGGTGTTATGCTGTAGAACTCCATTGTCTGCATTTTGTTCCTGTGTCATACATTGGCCACTGCTGACCAGTGTTGTGTCTAATCTTTTTCCTCCATATGCCAATTTTTTTTCCATCTGTGTGTGGAATAAATTTCTTGTGCACCATCTATAGAAACAAAAAAACCTAGGTGTGGCTGTTCTGCTAATCAGCTGGGCAGCATTGGAATCTCTCCTGGGCAACCGCATAAGCAGGGGACATTGCTCCTGACACACGGATATGCTATTTAATCTCCCCATATCCTATAGTATTGTTTCTGTTCACTGGTGGCTGGTAGGTCAAAAAGAGAGCTGCTGCTACTACTTTTGGTACTACTTGACAGGACAGGGCTACTCAACTTTGGAAGTCCTGGGAGCAACAGTGATACTCACAGAATATGCTGAGAGCCACAACTCAAGTGTAGTTCTAGCTTCTTTCACACTGAGGAGTATGAATACAAAGATTAAGGCAAGACAACATACAACACATAGGCCCCATTTAAGTCAGTTCTGCAGATATTAATAAAATGCAATATTTACCCGATTTCCACCTATATAACAGTACTTTTAATGAGCAATGACAGTCCAGGAATTTAACTACTAATACACATATCAACAGAAGACCATTATATCGACTCCCTGTTGTAGAGCGTGTTCCCAGTGGAGGCCATGTTCAAAGGATCCCACTCCCGGATCGCGTATTGAGTAGCCCTGTGATAGGAGATCTGCTTTCTCAAGTATTAGAGCAGGGGTGGGCAATAATTTTTTCCTGGGGGCCACTTCAAAAATTTTTGAAGTAGCCCCTGGCCATCCCAGAAGGGGCGGGGCCTAAACAGGAAGGAGCTATGCCTGAACAGGAAGGGGCGGGGCTACCCCACCCCCAGACCATGATTGGTCTGGGGGTGGGAGAGCCCTTTTTGCCCCCCGTTCCCTCTAGGCACCCAGGCCCTGGAAAAGGCTTGGCACGCTCCCCCAGCCCTTTTGCCCACCCATGTATCATCCAGCTTTAGGCATAAAGCAGGATCCTGAGCTTCTTTTATTGTTCTGTACATAAAGTTAGAGCTCACATTACCTGACGTAGTATAAAATGGTCAAAATACAATGGTGATGTCTATGTGCAGAATTATGACTAATGGCATATAACATGAAGGATTATTCATGAGAATTGAAATCCAAATAATTGTAAGGGTCTGTCCTTTAGCAGCTTTAGGCATAAAGCAGGATCCTGAGCTTCTTTTATTGTTCTGTACATAAAGTTAGAGCTCACATTACCTGACGTAGTATAAAATGGTCAAAATACAATGGTGATGTCTATGTGCAGAATTATGACTAATGGCATATAACATGAAGGATTATTCATGAGAATTGAAATCCAAATAATTGTAAGGGTCTGTCCTTTAGGTTAAAATCACAAAAATGCAATATAATGCTGTCCTAGTAAATGTGTTCATATCTACAGTAGTGGTGTGTGAATTCCGTACAAACTCATTTAGTTTTAGGACAAATCTGAGTGACACAATCTGCAGCTTCCTGCCTTTGTATAGTTTAACAACCTGAAACCTAGTTCAAAGTGTCTAACTCTCTAGTACTACTTTATATAGATGCTTGCTATGAGATGAAAAGAGAAGATAATTGAACTTTAATGTCCCTTCTATTGCAAAGAGAATGGAAAAGCCTAAATTTGTCCATGTTCTCTGTCTCAAGAAGGGGAATGCTCTTCTCTTTGAATATTTATACCACAATATTTATACTTTTTTGTTCTTGTGTATGTCCGTTACGCTCTGAGGGTGTGTGTGAGCGCATCTTGTGCTCCAGTACTGCAGTAGTGGTATCCCCATAAGCAGGTACATCTTCACCCTGCTGGTCCTTGTGATGCAAGCTGAAGACACAAATTGGGGAGTCACCCTTCACATCTTTCATTTCCTTCTTAGTACCATGCTGTCAGATAATTCATTTGTTCAGCAAATATGCCATCATAGTTAGATGACCTAAAACTGTTGCTGTGGCTGAATAGTGAACTCCAGGCTCCACCTGATAGTAGGCAAGCCTGTGCCAAAGTCCCTGGCTTCAAACCCTGTTCAGGGTGCCTCAATACCCATGGGTCTTTAATTCCCATGAAAGACCTTCACTCTTGCTGCTTGAAGTGCTTGGGTGAGAATCACATGAAAGACAGATATTTGATTTGCTGGAGTTTTGAAGCTGAGATCAGCTGCTTCCTTGGCACAACTATCAATCCGGCTGACAGCAAAACAAAGGCCTATTTCATTGTCAACCACCCAAGAGGCCAACGCAGCTGTAAGGGCTCTACTAACCTTCTCTGTATGGCTCCTGCTAGTCATTCATCACCATGGTACCTTGCTGGGACATTGCACGTGCATTTGTTGGCATCCATGTATCCATCTGATACAGTACCAGTGACAACAGGTCTTGTGCTGCTTCCTTTGGTCCCAGTGCCATCTCCCAGATCAACAGTAGCTACTGTAGCTCAGCACATGAAACTGATAACCAGCAAGCCCCCGATGTTGTTGTCAGTATTTCAGGCCCATTGTATATCATGGTCCTGATCTCCAGTGACACTGCCCAGTACTGCTCTGAGCTGGCCTTTGGGGTACTTGTGCTTCTCCTCGAGATTCTGAAGTGGTTTCCTATATCTCCAACTTCAGGGAATCCAGGCTATCCTCAGGAGTTGTTCCCACTTTTTGAGTTACCTTGAATAGGTCAAAGGAATGGGAGCGGTGGGTCTAGGTCAGGGGTGGGCAATAATTTTTGATGAGTGGGGCACTCCAAGAATTTGAAGAGTGGTTGAGGGCCACACACTTCCATGGTATTAATGGAGGAGTTGCAGGGTCTGAGATGGAGA